TTTTCCCAGGGGTGTTTGATCCCTTTTCCCAGGGATGTTTGATCCCTTTTTCCAGGGATGTTTGAATCCCTTTTTCCCAGGGATGTTTGATCCCTTTTCCCAGGGTGTTTAATCCCTTTTCCCAGGGATGTTTGATCCCTTTTTCCCCGGGGTGTTTGATCCCTTTTCCCAGGGATGTTTGATCCCTTTTCCCAGGGATGTTTGATCCTTTTTCCCAGGGGTGTTTGATCCCTTTTCCCAGGGATGTTTGATCCNTCCCTTTTCCCAGGGATGTTTGATCCCTTTTCCCAGGGATGTTTGATCCTTTTTCCCAGGGGTGTTTGATCCCTTTTCCCAGGGATGTTTGATCCTTTTTCCCCGGGGTGTTTGATCCCTTTTTCCCAGGGATGTTTGATCCTTTTTCCCAGGGATGTTTGATCCCTTTTCCTGGGACCCAGCAGCCTCTGGAGCGTTGGTGAGCAGGTGACAAACTGGAAAAATTTCCAGTTCCAGCCCTCTCCCAGTTGTGGCTGCACGTGGAGCTGGGCTGCTTGGCTGGTCTGGCTCTGACAGGAAAGGGAATCCCAAATCTCCTCCCAAACTCATCCAAACCCAGCTCGGAGCAGCCCTGCACCAGCCAGGATCTGCTCAGGCAGGAGTTTGGAGGAGGAATTCCAACCGTGCAGGGAATTGGGTTGGGAATTCCCCCCTTGATCCACATTTATCCCAAACCATCCCTATCTTGGAGCTTCAGGTGGTTTTAAATTATTTAAAATTATTTAAATTCTTTTTTTCATACAAGGTGGGTTTTTTTGAGGGTCTAAAATCCGTGCCTGTTCTGATTCTTCCTAAACTTTCCCTGAATTTCCCACGCTTAGGTTTCTAAGGAGGAAATTTGTGGCCTTCTGCTTTTGCCATGTGGATAAACCAGCAGCTGAATTTTGTTTTCCAAGACTGAAACAACCACCCCGTGGGAATTGTCTTTTGGAGATGTTCTCTTTGTCAGTCAGTGGTCTTTATTTTCAGCTGGAATATCAGAATTTGGGAATTTTTAAATCAGGAGTGACGTTGCTGATTTTTATTTGGTATTTTTGATCAGGATGGACATCAAATTCTTGGTCACCTTTAGAATCATTGATAAATGATGGAGAATAACTGAGGGACTGGGCAGGGCTGAGGAATTCTCCCTGGAATTCTCACTGAGCTTCCCCCTGACCTTTCCTGCTCATGACTTTAAATCGGGAATTTTGCCCTTGGGGGCTGCTGATCCAGAGCCAGAACA